TTTCCCTAAGGGTTGTTTTCAGTTTCTACTCCTTGACTGGAATCAATCAAATAATTTGTTGTTGCACAGGTCCTTCATCTTATCATGATAGCACAAGAAGAATGTGTCCAGCCAAGGACAGGAGGCCTTAATCCACATCTGCTTGGCTGGAGCAGGATCAAAGTATCTGCTCAATGTTATGGTTCTAGAATCTCTGATGTGTGCTTGTGGACAACATACCCAGTGGAGTCCCATAAAGCACTTTTTAACAAATATACACAAGGAAGAACACATTGAAAGGAAGACCTGGGATATGGTCAGGAGTCACCAGCAGGAGAGGAGTAGTCCTAAATGTCACTTAACCATCATGAGCTCCATCGGAAGGTGGCAGACCTCTGATACCCACCTACTTGGTTTCAAGTGAAAGCTAAGAATGACCAGATACAGAGTGAGTTCATGGCTAGCATGAGATTTGAATCATATGCTCCCTGTGCAGATTTAAAGAAAAAAGAAAAAAAAGAAATCTGCAATGGAGTACCACACTGGGCTAAAGCAGAATTTGCAATATATATATATATCTAAGAGCCAAAAACATGCAAGGGAGAAAGAAATTAACAGCAATGTACTTTGATATCTGACATCTCACAAGAAGACATCACAAAATCTTGGCTGACATTTTGGTTGATAAGGCAATCCCAAACAACTACGGGCCACTCTCTCATAAAAGTCAGACAGGAAGTTGCCTAATGCTTCAGGTGGAGGGGGAAAGCACCAGGCTTAGCACAGAGCTGTTTTTTTCAGGCAAACAGATCAATTGATATGACTTTTAAAATATGCATGTGTCTAGGGATGGGTCGTAGTCGATGAGGCATATAATTGCTGCTCAGTTACATTCTGCACCTCTCCAGAAAGTGCCGGGTGAGGCTAAGAGAGGCTAAGCAGGCCTGCATGATGTAGTGGTGAGAGTCCTGGACTAGGATCTGGAGGATCCAAGTCCAAATCCCCACTCCGCCATGGGTGCTCATTAAGTGGTCTTGGGACAGTCACTTTCTCTCAGCTTGACCTACCTCACAGAGTTGTTGTTGATGTGAGGATAAAATGGATGAGGAGCAAAGAATTTTGTAAGCCACTTTGGGTCCCCACTGGGGAAAAAGGCAGGGTAGAAAAAATAAATCAGCGATAGCTAATGTTTGTTTTCCCGAATTTGTCATAAAAGCAGCGGCATTGGGGCAATGAGATGTGGCAACTATTCCAGCAAGATCGTTTTTATATCCCTTCCCTAACTGAAACGCTTTTGAAGTATATCCGTTATAGCCGTATTAACCTTTTAAAACATTAAGAAGATTTTGAGCTTCACTGCCACAAAGTTTTCTCCTAATTATGCTCTGTGAGAATCCCAACACCCTCTAGTAATGCACTGATAGCCACTCAGATGCCATGCTTCAGTTGGCGAAGTATTAGAGGCTTGAGCTTTTCATTTCCCAGGACACACTTCCTCTCGGTCACACACACACCTGCATGTATCATGGTAATGCTTGTACAGAAGCCAGAAAGAAGAATAGATTATCTATCATGGCTTCAACCATTTTTTTTCAGAGATCATGCTGTTCTTCTTAATATCATTTGTTGCATGAGTTCTGGCTTTTTCTCAAACACTTTCAATTTAAGATTTTTTTAAAAATAAATCAGATTAACAGCCTCTTAAAGAATTGTGTTCCTTCATATTGTCCACTCGGGGCTTTTGCTGGTTCCTTACTCTACAATAAAGCAGCTTAAATGGTCTAGGTTTAAAATCTGTCCTGATCTTGGGTTCTGGTTTAGTTCATACCAGCTGATTTCAAAGCCTAGGTTTACATGAAATGGTCAAGGAAATACAAACAAAAAGTCCATCCAAGTAGTGTTACCAATCTCCAAGTGGGACCTGGAGTTCTCCCAGAACTACGATTGATCACCAGACTACAGAGACCAGTTCCCTGGGAGGAAATGCCAGTTATGGAGGGTAGTTAATATGGTTTTCTAGTTATGCCGGCCACATGACCACGGAAACGTCTTCGGACAGCGCTGGCTCTTTGGCTTTGAAATGGAGATGAGCACCGCAACCCTA